ATTTTTTTTAATTAAATTTTAAAATAGGCTTTAAATTGATATCTCTATTTTATTTTTGAGAAAATCATTGTATTATGAAAAAAGATTCTTATGAGTCTAAACAAAATTTTTTTTAAGGCGATTAATTGTATAACATTTAAAACTAAATTACTTAATTCGATCAATGTATTCTCTACAATGCATGTGCAACGAATTGTACTAGTGCCAATCTTCGATTCAATATGATGAATATGACTTCTCCAATTTAACGTTTTGTCGATGATAATCCCTAAATATCTTGTTGAATTGGATGGTTTAATGATCATATCGTCTATTTTGACTACTACTGGATTTTTGTATTTTTGTGTACTCAAAAGGTGAGTACACTCTAGAATCGGTCAGTGTGTCCGGCCGTCCGTCCGTCCGTCCGTTTACACGATAACTTTTGAAAGGAGAGTCCGATGGCAATGAAATTTTCTACACAGTTCAGTCTTAACAATGTCTCGGTCGAGTTCGAAGATGAGAAGAATTGGCCGAGCCATACCTGAGTTATTTCAAAAATACTCATTTTTCTCTATGGCTTCCTGTGGGAAAAATGGACCATTCCTCGCTTTCGTAAAACAATTTTCCTATCATACTCAAACAAAACCCCAACTATCATATACCATTCGATAGAGAATTTTACGAGCTACAAAATGGTATATAAAACATAAAGAAAAAAGAAGGCTAGCTCACCTATTGCAAAAATAAATAAACGGAAATCGGTTCTGTTCTTGTCCACGCTCTAACTGATCCACAAATAGAGTACTATCTTCCGATAAGAGGTGATGCTTGAAGGTTTTCTGGGATGGAGAACTCGAATCTGTACTCCCTCCACTTGTTTCGAAACCCTATTGCTTGAGCACTGACCAATAGAAATCAAGTTATAGAAAAAACGACTTTCTGAGGGTAAATGAAGGCGAAGAGTTCAAATCTGAGTTGTATTCGCCCCCAAATCCTATTGGTTGAGCAGTAGTCAATAGAATTCAAGTGTTTATAGAAAAGGTTTTCCAAGCTAATTTGTATATCCACACATTCTAGGATGACTGATTTGTCTCATTCACTTTTTGAAGCACACATAACTCTCGGAATTAAGTCCGAGGTTTCCGCATTTATTTCCTTGGATGTACAGTAAAATGGACTAGTTCGGTTTTTGTAGGCTGTAATTTAAGTTTCCATGATTTGCACCAGCTTTGGAATGCATCTATGGATTGTTGTAATCTGGAGCTAAGGCTTGTTGTTGTGTTTGATGATGTCCATAGAGTAGTGTCATCGGCAAATAGACCATGTTCCGTGTGTTCCGGTATTCCATTCATTGAATCTGCCGTGTATATAATGTAAAGTAATGGTGATAATGGAGATCCTTGTGGAGTACCGCTATTAAGGTTAAATGGTCTGGATAGTGTGTTTTCAATTTCGATTGCAGCAGTTCTATTTTGTACAAAAGAAATGAGGCAATTTGTTAAGTATTGTGGTAAACGTAATTCATTTAATTTATATATTAGTCCATCGTGCCAGACAGAATCAAAGGCAGCTTTTATATCAAATAATATAACAGTTGCATGACGTCGACGACCAGTTGAATGCAGATGATTTTGTGCATATTTTGTTAACCTTATGATGTTGTTTAGGGTGCTTTGTCGAGGTCGGAAGCCAGCTTGATGTTCTGGTAGGATGTTACGTCGTTCAAGTATAACCATCAGTCGTTGTTTGATTATTTTCTCCAAAAGTTTGCCAAGGCAACTAAGAAGACTAATCGGCCGATAACTTGACGGGTGTTGTTTGTCTTTATTGGGCTTTAACAAGAGTATAATGTTGGCATTTTTTCATCCACTTGGAATATATACCATATTTAACACGGAGTTGAATAATTTAGTTAGATGTTGAATAAGTAATTCTGCGTAATTCTTCAAACATCTGTTGTGGATGTTGTCAGGCTCAGTGGAGCTATTTCGAAGTTGTTTGATGTTCCATTTAACTTCTTTTATTGTTATCTTCTTCCACTTATTTAGTTTCGTGTTAGAAGATCCTTTTTTGATGTACGTTTGTCTTGTCACTTGCTGATGAAACGGTAGTGTGTCAGGTGCTTTGACATAGACTTCATTTTGAAAATATTCAGCAAATAGGTCGGCTTTTTCCTGTCTGATGTTGCAGTCACGTTGTTGTATTTGATGTTGTTAAAGTGACTTTGTTTAATTCGCTTATTGTGAAACTTGCGAACCGTAAGCCATACTGAGTCTGAATACATTTTCGTTTGACATAATGACGACATGAGATTGTTAAAGTTGGTTTTTCTGTCGTTTCTAAGTGAATTTGTTAATAGCACCTTGTATTTATAATATTGTTGTTTTTCGCTCTCTTCTCCAGTCTTTTTCCATTTTCGATAAGTTTTGTGCTTGAGCTGGATCATATGCTTGGTCGCTTCACTTAGTCGAATATTTGTATTCAGTTGTTTCGATGTTGGTATGGCTTCCTGTGTTGCTGATTTAATGCTGTTGGTGATAAACGACGTATATTCTTCTATATCTATTGCTGAAGTAATATGACGATGTTTGTTCCATAGCATTAGCTGTTCATTTAATTTGCTTCTAAATTTTGACCAATTTGCTGCTTTGAAATTTAGGGATAATCTTGGAGATGCTGATTTGGGTTCGGTTCCTATTGGTATATCGAAGGTTAATGGTTTATGACCACTTAATGTACCGATTGTTGAATGTGTTTCGACGTTGGATATTAATGAATGAAGTGGTTGACTGGCTAATATCCGGTCAATCTTTTCTTCATAATCATTCTTTTCAAATGTCGTACTATCATCATCTATACAGTTGACATAACCTTCATTGATTACCTCTTGTAACTGTCTTTCTCTTGAATTTGTTTTTCTTGAGCCCATATCAAATAATGTTGCATTAAGGTCACCTACTATGATACAGTTCTTGTTTAAATTGTACAATTCATCAAAGATGTTGATGTGGATTTTCGCTGTTGGTGGAACATAGATAGACGAAATTAGTATGCTCTTTAATGATTGTGTAGCAATTTCAATAGCTATAATTTCATATTTGCCCACAGTTTTTTTAAGTATTTCACTACATTTAATATGTTGTTTGACTGCAAGTAATACTTTTGCACCAGGTTTTTCTACTCGGTCGTTTCTGAAAATGTTGTAACCTTTCAGAGAGAACGGCTGATCTCTTTTCAGATTAGTTTCATTTACAGATATGACGTCGTATTTGGAGAATCTGGCAAGGAGTTCGTATTTATGTTTTGTGATGGAGTTGATGTTAATATGACAAACACTAATCTTCATTAATATTTGTTTTTAATTCTTTGTTATCAGTTGTAGTGGAATCTAATGAACTGTTGGGAGAACGATTTCGTTTGACTGCTTTTGATGTTGTTTTGGTTTTACGTTGGGCTTTAATTGAAGTGTCAGTTGTAATAGCTGGTGATTGTGTTGCTGTTGTAATTAGTGTGGATGATGGTTTGTTTTTGTTCTTTATGTGTTTGCCTGCATCTGTTGATTGTTTCTGTTGTTGTTTTACTTTTTTGGTGTTTAATACTTTAATATCATCGTTGCTATCCGAATCAGACATCGAGTTGATATTCATATCGTTGTCGCTGATGATAGTTTCTACTGCGGCAATGGTCTTTTTGATCTTCTTAATTCTTTGCTGGAGAGATTTTATTCGACGACTTGTTGTTTCTTCGATAATCTTTTCCATTTTACTAGAAAGAATGTCGACTAGTTTATCTAAGATATCACTGTGTAGATGTTCTTGTTGTCGTTGTGAGATGCTTGGTAATGATGGAAATTCTTGAAGATCATTTAATGATGGTATTGATGTTGCCTTGTACGATGTGGTATATTGATTCACCAAATTTTGTAGTCTTTTTTCTTGTTCTATATATGTCGAGCAATCATTAGAAGCGGCTAAATAATTACCTTTACAATTGCAGCATTTCGACATATCCGACGCAGCAGTACATGTGTCCATATGATGGTTGTCACCACACCGAGCACATATCTGTTGCTTCGTTTTGCAGTACTTTACTACATGATTGTATTTAAGGCATATATAACATTGTACAGGCGTGGTGTTTTGTGTTGCTGGTTCAGCTATGAAATGCATTGAATCAACTTGTAGACCAGTATGTACGAATGTATTACGATTTTGTGGATCAATAAACGTAATTTTGATGATTGTGGTTGGCATGTTTTTGACTTTATTCGTAAGTCGAACAATATCAACAGCATCGAGTCCAACGTCCTTCAATGCTTCAGTTATTCGACTTTCAGGAATTTCTATGCCGACGTCTTTTACAAACGCGACTTTTTCTGTGTCTTTTATACGTTGAATGGAACGGGGCACATAGATTTTACCTGTAGCCTGTCCATTTGTTGCAAGAATTGGTGTCAGCTCGTTTAACAGACAGTTAAATGAGTTGACATCGATTGTATATATTGTAAAAATTTCTGTTCGACCTAGTTGAATATCAGAAATTCGTAAGTCCTTTAAATGTTGTTTTATAATATCATTTAATTAAAGTTTATTTAGCTTCACGCCCTTTAGAATTAGAGGGGCAATGCTAAAATTTGATTACTTGTTCAGACCAGCCTTTGTTCCTGCAGAAGCCTTTGTTCCTGCAGAAGCCTTTGTTCCCGGACTATGACTCATCGCCATTGTTGCTCGAACATCACCTACTGCTGTTTGATCTTGTATTGCATTAATAGAATTAATGTAATTTTGTCCTTGTTTGTTTACACCTGTTCCTCCCTTTTTCGGAGGCATAATTAAGATACACCTGACGTAAAAACACCTGGAGATAATTACCTTAATTAATAATTTCAAAAATAATTTGAAAATTCTATGTAAAATGAATTAATAATAAAAGATGTAATCGACGAGTTAAACAAAGAAAATGTACGTAACCGACAAGATAGAATGCGTCTTATCTCGACCATGTCAAAGTGACGAATGATGATGTACATCAAGTCGATTATCTTCAGATCGAAGGATTCGACATACAATAGGTCAACTTAGTTCAGATGATGGAATTAAATCAAGATTACATCGATCAGCTACATCAACAGGACATGACTAAAAGATATTATTAGAAATTCTCTTTCGAAAAAAAAAGTAAATAAATATACTAATTGATTATCTCTCAATAAAAGTGTATAACGATCATCATTAATATAATTTGTTCGAAGATTACGACGAAAAATGCTTCTATTGAATGTGAATTTCATTCACAAGCATAGACATGACGTGAATGACTATGAACAAGAAATAAACGAATAAAATATCCAATATCTACCTAAAGATTCTACAATTTTTTCATTAACACTATAATATTTCTTCCATTGTCATTTGTTTAGTATTATTTTCAGCACAAAACATACTTTTATCAACATTATATGAAAATATAGAATTAAACCTCTCTTTCTAAAACGAATGAAAATAAAAATTAAACTAACCTACTTTATGCCATTTTTAACTAAATATACCCATGAATCATTTCCTAATAGTAATCGTGTAGTTGGCGATTGGAAATCATCATTTTCTTCACGCACCTTCAAGAGCACTACGTTTAATTGATGATCGAAATGTTCGAGCAATATTTGACCAGAATTGATCAATTGCTAAAAATCAATATTTTAATAAATGCAAAAAAGTTTATTTGTAAAAACCAACAAATATGATTTGTTCGACGACAGTCAATAAAACATCAAGATAAAGGAAGAAGTATATCACCATATATACATCATTTTCGTGAAATATCATTTAATAATTGATCGTCACATGTCAAACTATGTTTATGACAAAGAGATTGAAGATTATCGACAAGTTTCACAAGAGATGAAGACATTTCTAAAATGATATTTATCACTTTTATTGAAAAGATGAATGTTTCTTTTTTGTTTATGTCATAAGATCATTCTTTCTAACTGTAGTTTAAGTGAAAAGATACATTGAAAATTTTTTTTTGTTCGATCAATCAGATCATTGTGTATAAAACGTATTGGAAATGAAGGATTAAATATCAGATAATTCTTCAATTTATTTGGTAGTTGGTTTACGCTAGCTGAAACAAAATAGAAACTATCTGACTATGGTCAAAAACAAAAAATAAACTTAAGAGTTAATGAAAGACAATAAATATATCTGATCAAGATCTACGACAAAAAATGGATGTCACCATAACGAATACGAAAAAAACCTACTTGACATGAATCTAAGACCTAATGAAGTATCATCAACATAAGCCACAAAAAATAAAATCTTACTATCCTAATCAAAGATAAAAAAAGAAATCAAGAGATGATGAAAGACCAAAATTAAAATATAATCATGATCAATGAGAACCAATAGATGTGACCATGAAAAGGAAACAAAAATCAGATATTGAACATAATGAAAAAATATCTGACAATGATGAACGAGAAAAAGTGTCGATGAACAACGACACCAAGAAAAACGAGAAGATGATGAAAAAGAAAAAGTTTTTGATGAAGAAATATCCGACTAATTATCATTTGTCGCAATTAAGCCAGGTTTAACAAATTTTTCATTTTCGACGAATACTCTTGGTTTGGTATAGCGCCTGCAGCCCATTGCAAATGCAGTTTCTTGATTTGAGATAGGACTGGAACATTTGTATCCTGTAAAGAAAAGAAAAAGTAAATGTGATGATATATTAAGAAGAAAATATATATTTAGGAAATCTGCCAAAGAACTACCTCCTTCTCGTCCATTGTTATTATTACTTTTTTTTCCTAATTCTATAGATGACAGATAGATTGGAACGTAAAATATATGAGAAAAGAAGGTGAGTATATATATATAAAAACATGCATATGAAAAATTCATAAGGAGTCGCCCATTCTGCTCATAAAAAAAACAAAGGAATTGGACAGGTCAAGCGAAGAAAAAATTCTTAATACGAAGGCATAACTGTTCCTGATTTGTCGTCCGATGTAAAAAAAAAGGAAAGAAAAGATAAAAAAATGTGTGATTTTAATCGAGTAAATTTATCAATGAATATTTAGATTTTATACAAGAAAAATCAATTAAAACAAAAAATTATATTGAGTTTAATAATATAGGTGAGAAAAAAGCGTTCTAATGATGTAATTTCTTTTCTTTTTTTTCTTACAGAATCTCTTGAAATATAGTTCCACAGTAGAAGTCCGCACGATAATCCTACTCTACCCTGCAGGATATGGTAGGATAAGAATAAAGATGTTGCAGGATAGGGTAAGAAAGTCAGAAGCGTGAAAACTAGAAAAAAATATAAAAAGGGGAATTTTTCAAAATAAGATGTAGTGATGGAGTTTGCTCAAGAAGATCATCCCGAATCTAATGGCAAGGAACATGAAGATAAAACTGCATCGAATTATATATTTTAGATTTTTTGATAAATTTTGTCAGAATCTACCCTCAGGTTTTTTCAAAACCTCCAAGTTTTCAATAGGCTGATAAGATGATTTTTTTTACCCAAAAAATCTGAAAAAATGTCAATTTTCTCTACAAAATCGGCTGACGACATGCAGTAAAATATCTATAACTCATGATTGCCTAAAGTTAACAATGAAGGGCTTGCAGAATTTATAAATCTTCAGTTAGCATTTCTAGTGCACTCCCGAAAATTGAAATTCCAAAACTTTTATGTTACACATTATTTTGTTCTTAAAAAGCTTGATACCAAATCCTGACAAAATTTATCAGAAAAATCTAAAATATATTATTCGATGCAGTTTCATCTGCTCTTTTAAACGGCGCAAACCATAAATCTCTATCTTATTCCTATCAAAAGTTAGACCGAAAATACTAATCCTTCTTCGTTTTTGAAATAGATAATAGTTTCTATACAAGCGAAAGAATATTCACGAGGGAAGGTCCCCAAGTGTGAGTCTCCGTTTCGAATCGGATATTTGTTATTTTGTAGAGCTCAATGAGTACAGTACCCGCGTATAAAGGATTTCTGCCCATGGTGAACTTTTCAGGAACAACGAGATTCCATACCTTCTGAAAAATCAGCATAAGACTCTTAACTGAAGGCTTGAATTTTAATATTGTAAGGACAAAACATAGTGTTGTTCAGGCCAATCGGTGGTTATCAATGATGCTCTTTCATATGGCCCGAATAACACCATGTTTTGTTCTTATAATANAATTCTTCGAACATCTGTTGTGAATGTTGCCAGGACCCGTGGAGCTGTTGCGGAGTTGTTTGATAGTCCATTTAACTTCTTTAGTCGTGATCTTCCTCCATTTGTTTAGTTTCGTGTTGCAAGATCTGTGTTTTATGTTGTATGTTTGCCTTGTTACTTGCTGATGAAATGGTAGTGTGTCAGGTGGTTTAATATAAACTTCATTTTGAAAATATTCAGCAAATAGGTTGGCTTTTTCCTTGTCTGATGTTGCTGTTTTGTTGTTATATGTGATGTCGTTAACATTAGTCTATTTAATTCGCTTGTTGTGGAATTTGCGAACTGTAAGCTATACTGAGTCTGAATACATTTTCTTTTGACATAATGATGACATAGGTTTGTTGAAACTATTTTTCCTATCATTTCTAAGTGAATTAGTTAATAGTGCCTTGTATTTATAATATTGCTGTTTTTCACTGTCTTCTCCAGTCTTCTTCCATATTCGATGAGTTTTATGTTTGAACTGGATTAGATGTTTGGTTGTTTCACTTAGTTTAATATTAGTATTCAGTTGTTTTGATGTTGGTATGGCTTCTTGTATTGCACCAGTAATGCTGTTGGTAATAAACGACGAATATTCTTCTGTATCTGCTGCAGCATTTATACGACGATTTTTGTTCCATATCATAAGCTGTTTATTTAATTTAGTTCTAAATTTCTGCCAATTTGCTGCCTTGAAATTTAGGGATAATTTTGGTGATGCTGATTTTGGTTCAGTTCCAATTGGGATATCGAAGGTTAGTGGTTTATGGCCACTTAACGTACCAATTGTTGGATGTGTTTCGACGTTTGAAATTAATGAGTGGAGTGGTTGACTAGCTAATATCTAATCAATCTTTTCTTCATAATCATTCTTTTCAAATGTCGTACTATCATCATCAATACAATTAATATAAACTTCATTGATTACCTCTTGTAACTGTCTTTCTCTAGCATTTGTTTTTCTTGATCCCATATTGTATAACGTTGCATTAAGATCACCTACTATAATACAGTTGTTGTTTAAGTTGTATAATTCGTTAAAAATGTTGACGTAGCTTTTCGCTGTTGGTGGTGCATAAATGGACGAAATCAGTATATTATTTAATGATTTTGCAGCAATTTCAATGGTTATAATTTCATTTTTTTCAACAGTTTTTTTAAGTATTTCACTACATTTAATGTATTGTTTCACTGCTAACAATACTCCTCCACCAGATTTTCCTACTCGGTCGTTTCTGAAAATGCTGTAACCTTTCAGAGAGAACGGTTGATCTCTTTTCAGGTTAGTTTCATTCACAGATATGACGTCGTATTTGGAGAATCTGGCAAGGAGAAAATGTCCTTCGATTCAAATATTTACCACATGATTTATTCAATAGACATAAACGAAAGATTAATTTCAATTCTNTTGAGGGATAATCTTGGAGATGGTGGTTTTGGTTCAGTTCCAATTGGGATATCGAAGGTTAATGGTTTATGACCACATAATGTACCGATTGTTGGATGTGTTTCGACGTTTGATATTAATGAAAGAAGTGGTAGACTGGCTAATATCCAGTCAAGTTTTTCTTCATAATCATTCTTTTCAAATGTTGTGCTGTTATCATCTATACAATTAACATAACCTTCATTGATTACCTCTTGTAACTGTCTTCCTCTTGCATTTGTTCTTCTTGAGCCCATATTGTATAATGTTGCATTAAGGTCACCTACTATGATGCAGTTGTTGTTTAAATTGTACAATTCATTAAATATGTTGGTGTGGATTTTTGCTGTTGGTGGTACATAAATTGATGCAATTAATACGCTCTTTAATGATTGTGTAGCAATTTCAATAGCTATAATTTCATTCTTTTCGACAGTTTTGTTAAGTATTTCACTACATTTAATATGTTGTTTGACTGCAAGTAATACTCCTCCACCCGGTTTTCCTACTCGGTCGTTTCTGAAAATGTTGTAACCTTTCATAGAGAACGGTTGATCTCTTTTCAGGTTAGTTTCATTTACAGATATGACGTCGTATTTGGAGAATCTGGCAAGGAGTTCGTCTTTGTGCTTTCGAATAGTGGTGATGTTAATATGACAAACACTAATCTTCATTAATATTTGATTTTAATTCTTTGTTATCAATGGTAGTGGAATCTAACGAGCTGTTGGGTGAACGATTTCGCTTTACTGTTTTTGATGTTGTTTTTGGTTTACGTTGGGCTTTAACTGAGATATCGGTGGTAATAGCTGGTGGATTTGTTGTTGTTGTAGTTAATGTGGATGATGGGATGTTTTTGACCTTTATGGGTTTTATCGTAACTGAAGATTGTTTTTGCTGTTGTTTAACCTTTTTGTTATTTAATACTTTGATATCATCGTCGCTATCCGAATCAGACATCGAATCGATATTCATATCGTCTTCGCTGATGATATTTTCCACTGCTGCAACGGTCTTTTCGATCTTCTTAATTCTTTGCTGAAGAGATTTTATCAGACGACTTGTTGTTTCTTCAATAATCTTTTCCATTTTACTAGAAAGTATGTTAACAAGTTGATCCAAGAAATCACTGTGTAAATGTTCTTGTGATCGATGTGTGAAACTTGGTAATGATGGAAATTCTTGAAGATCATTTAATGCTGGTGGTAATGCCGCCTTGTAAGACGTGGTATATTGATTGACCAAACTTTGCAGTCTTTTTTCTTGTTCTATATATTTCGAACAAACATTAGATGTAGCTAAATGATTACCTTTACAATTGTAGCATTTCAACAAATCCGAAACAGCAGTACATTGATCCATTTGGTGGTTATCACCGCATCGAGCACATATCTGTTGCTTGTTTTTACAATATTTTGCTACATGATTGTATTGAAGGCATAAATAACATTGCACCGGCTTGGTGTTTTGTGTTGCTGGTTCAGCTACGAAATGCATTGAATCCACCTGTAGACCAGTATGTACGAATGCGTTTCGATTTTGTGGATCATTAAATGTAATTTTGATGGTCCTAATTGGCATNTGATCTATCAATGTAGTTTTCAGAGAAATTAAGTTCGGTTTTGGGTTCCTCCCTCTAAAAGTCAATGTTTGATTATGATAGAACATCGAACAATCGCTTTTCAACTGAGAAATGTGATTTCGATTTTCCATCAATCAGACCGTAGGCAAATCGATCAAAAATATCCATTCTTCAAGCTATCCTTTCAGGATTGAGAATGACTTATTTCACTGTTTAACAATGTGAAGAATAGAAATATGCTTTTGCTTATATCTATACAGGATAAATAGTTAAATATAGAGAAGAAACTTGACACAAATGGCATTACATGTTAAGTCCAGTAGTTCAGTGGGTTGATGTAGCAAACTGACACTGAAACTCAAACACGATACCCAAACCCAAACCCAAACTCGCAAACGGTTTGGGTTTGAGTTTGGGTTTGGTGTATGCCTACCTACACACCCACACCCAATCGGACTGAAATTAGCGTCGACTGAAATCGGATTCGAAATGAATTTCGAGATGATCATTCTTTCTCAATCAAGGTTGAAATTCTGTTGACTTGGTAACTTTTCAAGTAAAAATAGAAAGTTGAGAGTAAAAACACTGATTGCAGAAGCAAAAGTAGGAGGATTCAACTTTTGAGACAAGTTTTAGTATACTATGACATTTTACAGCGAAAATTGCAGTAGGAGTTTCAAAAAACTTAAGATTGCAGTTGCATTATAGTTTGAAAAATATAGATTGGATGAAATTGGCCTAACTCTGACTGTTTCTCTTGCTCCCTCTCTATCTATGTTTTTTAGAGCATTCCTTACATGGATACCAAACCGACTATTCAACTCAATGCTGAACTCTTTGAGTAAGCTACTATGATGTGTTACATCAAATGACAGCATCTAATTCAACTCTTGTATAGTAATATTGAAAAAGTCAAGAAGGGAATTGATTTTGGATTCTTAGTATTGATCTCAAGATTACTCAGTATGATTGGGTGTTTATTGATATCTTTTCTTATCAACTGGCAATTGTCTCTGATCATGTTATGTTTCTTACCTTTGGTCATTACTAGTTCATTTATGTTTTCTAAGGTATGAAATATTATTTGATAAATAAAATCTATATGAATTATTACAGTTCACCGCTAGTGAAACTATGAATGCGTTAAAGACATACGCAAAAGCAGGGCAAATCGTTCAAGAAGTGTTTGGCTCATTGCGAACCGTTCTATCTCTCAATGGTAGCAAATTTGAGCAAAAGCGGTAAACAAATACAGAAAACTAGGTCACTTATCTAATATGATAAAATATTTTGTTACTTTTATTACATCTAGATATGAAAGAGAATTGCATCCAGCTCATTGGAGTACTATGCGTCAAGGTGCGATGTTTGGAGTTTTTATTGGATGTCTATACCTCATAGACTACATAGCTTATGCAGTTGGTTTTATCTGCGGTTCCCAACTGAAAACAAGCAAAGATCATCATGATCTGTACATAGGTGATATTATTGTCGTGAGTAGTTCATATTATCCATTAAGAAGGGAATGAATATACGGCTATTATTGTGGTATAGGTTGTTTCCAGCTGCACAACATGTTTGGCTTTCCTCAGTTTGTTTGGTCCTTTTTTGCAATCATTTTCAGAAGCTCGAGGTGCAGCATTATCAGTGTTTCGACTGATCGACAAAGTAAATCTGAGTAAATTGAGGTCAAATATCGAGTATCATGCTATGTTTTTATTTACATGACATAGGAGAAAGATCCAAACGCTAATGAAATAAATGTTTTGAAAGAGGATACAGAATCAATTTATGATATCAATGGTGATATTGAATTTAACAATGTCAACTTTACTTATCCATCTCGAAAAGAAGCATCAGTTCTGCGTAATCTCTCTCTTATTGCTCGTGCCGATCAGATAACTGCTCTCGTAGGCTCAAGTGGCTGTGGTAAGTCTTGACAAAAAATGAAAGTGTTAAAAGGCTCTCCTTTCCATTTATAATTTATTCACAGGAAAAAGTACATGTATGTCACTTTTACTTCGTTATTATGAACCCTCATCGGGTCGAATCTCGATCGATGGTCGATCACTAACAGACTACAATGTCAGACAACTTCGACAAAACATTGGTGTTGTTAGTCAAGAACCTGTATGCTTTGCTTTTCCTTTTTCCTTTTCTTCATTTCTTTGTAATTTATTGTGGTGACAGATTCTGTTTGGTACGAGTATTTATGAAAATATTCGTTTGGGTAAAATAAATGCAACAGGCGCAGAAATTGAGCAAGCAGCACGACAAGCAAATGCTCATAATTTCATCATGCAATTACCAAACGTTTGTGCTTTATATTAATTTTTATCTACGTATATGCAGCAGTATTCCCTATTTAGAAATATGAAACGTTTGTTGGTGAAGGTGGTATACAATTAAGTGGTGGTGAAAAACAACGTATTGCATTGGCTCGTGCTCTTGTCAAACAACCTACCTTCCTTTTACTTGATGAAGCCACAAGTGCTCTTGATAATGTTAGCGAAAAAATTGTTCAAGAAGCGCTCGATCGTGCATGCAAAGGTAAGGATTGACTTTTCTGTTGATCATATTGATCCAATACTCTGTATAGGTCGAACAACTATTGTTATTGCTCATCGTTTGACTACAATTAAAAATGCTCATCAAATATATGTATTAGATAATGGAACTGTGCTTGAGCAAGGCACACATGAAACATTGATGACAAAAGAAGGAGGCAAATATCAATCAATGATCAAACGTCAACAAATGGAAAGAATCGATGATGATAAAGATGATATGATGAGCACGCAAAAAGCAATAGAAGAAGATGAAAAGTCAATAAGTATGCTGATATTCTCATTACGAGGATCTTCAAAGTTCTTCGTCTCTTTCATTGAATAGTTGAACGCAGTCATTTGCTTAGCGTTAGTCAAATGGTTGGTCTGAATAAAGTAACTAATGGTGTTTAAAATATTTATAAAAGTCATTATTAATCATCTCTGTTTTAGCAAAGTTTAAAGTCATTACGAAAAAGATTTGTCTTTTTAAGACTCTTGTCAATGAATAGTCCTGAATGGATCATCATCTTGATTGGTTGTATAGCATGTGCACTTAATGGAGTGGCTCAACCAATGTTCGCATTTTTGCTTACTAAAATAATCGATGTGAGTGATTGACTGATCAAAATATTGCGTAAAGTGATGGACAACATACATTGTTTTATGCCGATTTGTTTCTTGTGTAGGCATTTCGATATTGTGCAACCTCTGAACGACGTCATCAAGTGCTAATTACCAGTTTATTTTTTTTACTTTTGGGTGTTCTTGTATCGATTATCTATATCTGCCAAGTAAAAGTGCTGCCCCTGAATAGGACCAACCATTTATTCACTTTTTTCTGTAGTATACAGCTTTTGCCATAGCAGGATCAAGATTAACGCAACGTATTCGTTTAAAAGCCTTTGCATGTCTTCTTCGTCAAGAAGTTGCTTATTTTGATCGACCAGAAAATAGTTCTGGTGCAATTTGTACTCGTCTTTCTTCTGATGCATCAGCTATTCAAGAGATGACTGGTACACGATTAGGAATCATCTGTGAAGCTCTCGCGTTGTCAGTTTTTGGAATTAGTTTTGGGTGCTTCATAAGTTGGCAATTAACACTGATCGTCTTAGGTTCCTTCTTTATCCTTTGCATAGTATCTTGTGGAGATGTGTTGGTAGATGTATGGATGAACCGGCAATCTGATCAAATTGTCGAACGAGCCAGCACGGTAAAATCAGGCTTCAGCTAATAATCTTTTCATATAGGGAAAACTAACATGGCATGAATTATTTCATAAATCAAATGAATTGTATACAGACTGCATTTCACTTTTACAGCTTGCTGTAGAAGTTATTCACAATATGCGTACAATAAAACAGTTGTCGATAGAAAAGGAAGTTTTACGACAATATTCTGAACTTATTCATCAAAGATTTATGTTGGTCATCCGACAATTATACATGTATAAATTTTTAATCGATTTTGTTTTGTCATAGATTGTCTTGCAAACCTTTGATACTCAATTCAATCGCGTATGGCATATACTGGTCCCTAGATATATACATTTCGGCATTCTTGTATTGGCGTGCTCTAGTCCTTGTTGAAAAGAACGAACTCGCCTTGAACGATATCATAATGTGATTGAAACTTCAGTTGAATAATCTAGAGACAATATTTTTTTATTTTTTGAATTTCTAAGGGTCTTTGCTTTTGCCACTTTTTCGGTGGAACAAGGAAGAATCATCGGATTGTTGTAATACTTCCAGTCTCTACTTTACTTTTTTGTTTTGGACTTTCTTCATTGCAGGTCTAGTTATATCGCTGCAACAGTCTCGGCTGCTGAAACATTTTTTGATCTATTTGATCGAATACCATCTATCGATAATACATCTACTGAAGGACAAGAACTAGTAAGAGAACATTGAAGACAACTATTTTCTTTCAATCATGTACATCTCATGAATGTAATATGCTTCGTATAGGTTGATTTTCATGGAGATATAACATTTAATCAAGTCAAATTTATCTATCCAACTCGACCAACATCTATTATTCTTAACAAGTTTCAAGTGAATATCAAGCCAAGTAAGTGAGATAAGTTTCCACATAATTGATTAAGTTAAAATTTTCATTGACTCATGAGGTCAACGTGTGGCTCTGGTTGGTATGTCAAAAATAAATCGTTCTTTTAAATGTTAATTACTCAATATGATTCCTGTAGGGACATCCGGATGTGGAAAATCAACAATTATTCAACTATTGGAACGATTTTATGATGTTTCAAATGGTCAACTAGTTAGTATTTCTGTGATGTATAATTTAAGTACTTATATAAAAATTTGTTGATCAATTTAGCTTCTCGATGGTATTGATATTCGACAACTAAATCTTCATTGGGTACGTTCTCATGTCGGTCTGGTCAATCAAGAACCAATTTTGTTCGATTTAACAATCGCTGAAAATATAGCATACGGCTTAGAAAATGTTTCAATGGAGAAAATTATTAATGCAGCACGTAGTGCTAATATTCATCAATTTATTGAACAATTGCCCCAGGTTAAACGAAAGAAAATTATATCATATGTCTATTACTATTGTATGATAATTATTTTAGGGTTATGAAACAAAAGTAGGGTTAAAAGGTAGTTTTCTGTCAGGTGGTGAGAAACAACGTATTGCTATTGCTCGAGTTCTTCTTCGTCGACCTAAAGTATTACTCTTGGATGAAGCTACAAGTGCTATGGATTCACACAATGAACAAGTATGTCTAATTTTTTTCTGCTTATCAATCAGTATCATCTTCACTTTTCAATGACAGATTGTACAAGAAGCTCTTGAACAAGCTCAAACAGAAGATCCTACTCGAACATCACTTATAATTGCTCATCGTCTTTCAACTATTCGTGCATGTGATTTAATTTGTGTACTTGATAGAGGAAATATAGTAGAGAGTGGTACTCATGCTGAACTGACACAACGACATGGACTTTATTATAGAATGCTTGATCAAAACAATTTATTATGACCATATTTTGAAAATGAAACTACATTTTGTTCAACAAAAAAAGAAACTTTGCCTAACGAATTTGACGCATCATATAGTTGTTTTTCCTCACTTTAGTGTACGATTTTAATGATTAATAAGAAGTTGAGTGTTGAATTAAGTTACATACAATCACATCAATTGTGCTAAACTTATTAGTCATATCTGAATATAATACAAAAAAATCATGATCCGTATAATTACTTCGAGCTCAATTAATCTACAGAAAAACAATTCATCATGAAAAGCGCAATCTTGATACTCTTTTATAATAGCAAAAAATGATGATAAAAGCTTGTTAGCGCAGCCCCTTTGGGGCTGAAATGTGGAACTCACGTATGTTCTTCAGTTTCATTATACTAATATGAAAAAAAAAAGAATTTTTTTATTCTCTGAGAGGCGCCCTCATTTTTCGTTTTCATTGCTACTATTCTCTCACTATCTTTAATTTTCGTAATTTTTTTTTAATTTAACATTTTCATTATTATAAGCATTCAATTAGATGGCAAATGAAATTGTTATATATATATATGTGTATCCATTATTTATTCTCCATTGCTAATGTCTGTAATGGAGAGGGGGGGGGGCAGGGAAGGGCCGCGAAACTTAAAGTTAAAACTTGCACGCACTATTTTCTTCGAAAATATACATGAATTCTACAAAATGATAACTAATAATCATGTTTATAAACGGGAACATAATTTTTGGTCAGTAAAATAAATGAAATGGTCAGTAAAAAATATACAAATTATCAGTGTAAATATTGAAATGATCAGTACTAAAGTGGTCAGTTTTTATATATATAAGTATCAGTAACAAATTCAAATTTGGTCAGCAAAAATTCAAATTTTATCAGTAGAAGAAGCAAGTTTTCTCGTACAAAGATTAACTTAGTATAAGAAAAATAAATTTATATAAATTAAAAAACCACAGAATAAATAAGAATAAATTCAACAGAACATAAAACAGAAATTCAAAGAATGAATAGAGAAAAAGAAAATTCAGTTACTGTACTAGCAAAGCAGTTTTAGCCTTTGCTGGTCTACCTCTTTTTCTTGTCACCGGTCGGTACTGGTTTTGCTGCAGGTGGTGCCTTGGAATATTTCAAACGATTACCCAAGCAGGGATAAAAATTGTTAAATTGTATTAAAATGTCTTCAAATCTCAATGAAAAAAATGGTACAAAATGGTCACAAATAATCCCTCAAAAATGCCTCCTTCGTGATCCATTAGAATGATTTTTTTTTCGAACCGTGAAAATGGTTTTAAAAATTCTAAAATAATGTTTACAATACACACCATTTTTTGGCATTATTTGTAACCGTTTCACATCGTTATAATTATGTCGATTTGAAGGTATTTTAATACCACTTTATCATGTCTATCTCTGCCTCATACACATTTCGATTTTTATACTTACCATTTAATTTAATTTACTAATTTTTAAATATATCAACAAACTTAATCATTTCAATAACTGACCGTTTAAATAATTTACTGATCGTTCATTCAATTTACTGATCATTCATTTGTTACTGACCATTTATTTATTTTACTGACCATTTCATTTATTCTACTGACCACTTAAATAGTAGCCTTTATAAACGTAGGTGAAGTTAGCACCAGATTCGAGTAATTTCTGCCCATACTCGCTCAGGAAGCGTTCCAAGTGGTCTCATGTGTGTTTCAACTAGAATTCAACATTCTCTATTCAATGATGAAAAACAATTGACGATAGCTTAAACTATTCGTGTACAATTTCAAAAATACTCAGCTTTCCCCATGGATCCTAGAGAACCCGGGAAGCAATTTTTGCCTGAATTCGCTCAGAAAACGTTCCAAGTGGTCTCGTTTGTGTTTCAAGTAGAACTAGATATGCTCTATCGATTGGTGAAATCGGATCAAGAATACCTTACATCTTTGCTAGAAAAGTTGAAAAATATTTGTTTCTTCCAAGACCATAGAGGTACTGTGCAGAATTCTGAGAGCCGATTCGACATTGCGTTTTTCTAGTTTGCGGGGGTGCTATACTAAGCTAAACCTGAGAACTGCTTGAGTTGCATTCACTACTATCGTCTGGCTTGCGAGGGAATCTCCCCAGATGCTCCTCTCGGATTTCAATGAATTTTTGTCCATAGATACTACATAGTGCTCTAATAAAAACTCTAAAGGGCTTTGAGTGCATAGCGTTTCCTTCAAAACTTACGTATTTTGTTGTTTTGCCCCCATAAAGCGAAACATACAATTTATAAGTGAGGGTCTGTGAGCGGACCTAACAAGCAGGCTGCCGCTAACATTTTGATTTTCGATTTAATTATCTCAAACGGTAGACCATCATTAGGATACTTCAAATCCAAAAGATTAGCTTTTTCTGGCTTTCTTATGAAAACAGTCGATGTATACAAGTTACACACTCTTCAGCGCTTGGTCAAAAAAAGATCAGTTTTTTTATGGATCCTTAAATTGGAAGGGTTTCAACTGTTGAGCGAATACAATGAACATATTCAGGTCAAAAGAAGGCTTTCAACGAGACACTAATGAATTTAAAATATGAGCAGCTGATGGCGTACCTGGACAGAGATATTTAATTTTGTATGTTGTGCATCATTACAGTATAGAAACATGATAATAGATGGACAATTCACATCAACCTTTTAATATGTTTATCAGACTTTTAGAAAGCGAGTTTCTGAAATCTTGGCGAGATTTATTGACAATATTTAGACCTCTGTAGATACAACTTCCGAGTTTTAACAGTACCGAATTTGAAAAGAACAAATATTGTGTTTGAGTCGTGTTGATACGTAAGATATTCAAAAATTAAGAGCATTGATGCATCACCGGATAATTTATAGAACTGTTTACATATTTCGACATCATAAGGAGGAGAGAAAGAAATATCTATATTACTATCACCAGTGAGATGCTGAGAGGTTGCAACCAACTATTGACGACGTACAGTAAAGGGATTCAGCAATAGAGAAATGCGAAGAATAATCTATGAACAGTTTCCATTATATATTCCTTTGCGATTGGTATTCATAAGTATCAATCATGTGTGCATTCTAAGTAATGTTCTTTCTTATTTTATACCACCACTAATATTCGAAAAGATTAAACTCGTCAATTAAAAAAGATGAATTTAGTGAATATTGTGAAACACCTTCTCCATTTAACACAAATGGAATTTTCCTTTGAAGATTCAAGAAAAAATCCTGATGAAATTTTCGCTGCACAACAATTATTCGAAATCTTAAAAACATTTAGAGATAAGGGCTTCAATGAACTATATATTTATCGAAGTCTCGAGTTTCATTATGAATATGATGAAGTTACGGATGAAGAAGACAGTGTTGATGAAGAAGAAAATATTGATGATTATGATGAACAACAATATCTGCACAATCAAAGTCATTTTATATTAGAAGAGATGTAAAATATAGTGGAATGGGTTGATCAACATCCAAATTATAAATCTGAATCTATTAAGAATAGATTTCGAAAAGTCCAATACATGCATTACATTACAAGATTTAGAGAAGATATAAATACGAACGGGACAAGATTAGGTAGGATATCTTGGCCTGGATTCGCTCACAGTTGGGACCAAAGACTAAACTTTACGGGCCAAGATAGAGCTCAACGAGTTCTATCCAATGCACTATTAACTTTTTCTCCAATACTTTTCCAAGCGGGAGAAAAACCTAAAATACTGTAAAAAAATCAGCAAAAAATCCGATCTTTTTCGTACAGTGCACCGCGATTCGCACTCAGGTGGGACCAAAGCTTGACAACCATACAAGCAGATAGAACTCGACGAGCTCTGTCAAATGGACACCTTTCAAGGTATTTTAGGTACTTCCGTGCCCCCTAAAATCCCAATAGGCTCCAAAATCCAGTGTTTTTACGAAAACCCGAGCGGGATTCACTCCCAGCTGGGACCAAAAGCTGAAAATGACATACATAGATAGAACTTGACGAGCTCTATCGAATGAATAACTTTACAGCGCGTTTTAATGCTTCGATCCCCTCCGAAAGGACAAATCCAGACCTTAATTCTACAATCATTGAAATAATGTTGCTTTTTCATTATGTCTTTCTAACAAGGATACAAAACAAAACATCAACAAATTTTCTTTTTTTTCAAGTAAAAGTGTTAAATATGTTTTAGTACATCGTTGCATATGTTAATTTAGGTTTTTTCTTATTGTGTGCATTGCTTTGAATTTCATCTATTCGTAATGACAGGAATATGATGACGTCTTTCTGTTTATATGTCGTTCTTATTATCATGAAGGACCGGTATGTGTAGAGGAGAGAAAAAAATTATTGGTGAATGAGATATTATTGGTATGAAGGAGAACCAGAGAGATGATCCGTGGTCTGGTGAAAAGTATTGGCTTAGCGTTCGACATTTGTTTCTGAACTGCACTTGGTAATTACACACCAATTTGGAGCACAGAATTTAATTTATCCAAAATACAAAACTGATAACTAAGATATATGTAAAAGGATTTGGGGTTTTTTTACTAAAATTCATATAGATGGCGCTAATCGCGTAATAGCTAGTGTGATGGCTTGCCATGGTCTCAGCGTTTGTGATGTCAATTAATGATCCATCGTTCATGCTGCTCCTTCTTCTTCTCTAATGCATGAAGTAATCATAAATTCAATTAATGATAATTTAATATTGATTAATAAAACGAGAGAATTTCTTTGATTGAGTTGTAAGTTTATTTTGATTTTTAACAAAAAAAGGTAAAAAGACCAAAATTACAATTTTGATTTAATAAAAATAAAATAAAATATTTACGAAAACAACTTTAGCTATAAGATGATTTCATTTTTCGAAGTGAATAAATGAAATAATCATGTTCAAATGTATTATTTTTTTATAAATGTAAAAGAGCGAATGAGGCTTTGTGTTTGAGCTGTTTTTTATTTATTATCTATCAAAGTAAAACATAAAACAATCAAAATCCATAGTGTTCCGAGTCCGACTCGCTGGAACTTGATAACGATGAAATCTAAAAAATAAATTTCTTTGAGTTTTCAGATTAGGCAGTAAAAGAAACAAGTTTTTACGGAATAGTTGTGCTCGTCTATTTCACTGTCGACACAGTTTTCATTTGAAATCGATGACGAATCACTATTTTCTTCACTTGAATAATCAAGATCAAGTAGCCCTGTTGTAAAACTTGAATGACGTGAAACAAATTTCTGTTTGTCTGTTGTTGCTTTCTATAATTTAAAATAAAACAATAATAGATATATTTATTGAGTTATACAGTACAAGCTACAATAAATTCTCACCATAATTACTTGAGTATTACACATTTCATTTGGATTTAATCTTCGATTCGGACAATCAATAGGACATTGACAAAAAAGCGTACAAGGTAATTGATTTAAAATACAGACACATCTAGTACAATTTCCTTTATGTTTTCCACAACAAGATAATTGACGATCATTAGAAAAAGGTAATTTAGATGTCCATTTTACATGAAGAAAATTGTTTATGACTTGAAAGCCACTATCTTCAAAAGCAGGATAAGTAATATAACCGTCAGGTGCTTGAAGCCAAATTTGAACCTGTCTTGATACTCGTAAACAATGATGAAATAAAGCATCGTTTGTCGGAGGAAGTGATGTAACAATAGATGATTTATTTTGTTTTAAAGATGTCATAGCAATTGCAGCACGTAATTCATTCAGTGAAATATCGTTTTGATTTGTTTGAGCAAGTGTTTTTGCTCCTGATATTGAAGACGAAGATCTGTGACGTCGATTTGAAGAAAAACAACGAACGAAAAGTCTTTCAGCACCAGCAATCTATAGCATAAAAATATAAATTAGACTTTATTTTAAAGGAAACTTAGGAAAAGTTTTGTCATGAGGATAAACATTTTCATGCACTACTGTCAGCAATAAGTGAAATACCAAATAAACTAAACCTTTCTTTTATAATTGTAAAACAAGATGCCTAATAATGCACTTCATTTATATATTATACTCACATCATCGTGGTTGACAGGTAAGACAGTCAGCTTTTTCAAATCATTAAATTCATTTGGACTATCGAAGAGTACCAGCATAAAAGTTCGCTTGCTTATATTACGAATAAAAGAGCAAGTATCACATCCTGAAAGAGCATAAACGATAAGAAGAAGTATTGGATCAACGCCACATTTGTCAATTAATTCATTGTTAATATAAGTACAATCAATAAATTTTGGTGTTTTTTTTGGTACTGTTGCATCAACAATCAATTTTTCAAGATTAAGAAGTGATGCATAATAAATGCATAAAATGATAACATCAGTATCAATTGATTTAACGGTAATGTTAAAAAAAGAATTCTGTATAAGTTGATCAATATGTAAAATCATACGTGAATCCGCCTCTATTTGATTACTCTCGAGTTCGATTACGTCCACCGGTGGTTTATCTCTTTCTAACTTTGTTGCTTTTTCATTAGGACCAGCTATAACAAGTACAGATCCTAATGGTAATTGTTGAATTAATTGATTTTCTTTCCAACATTCAATTATGATAGCAGCAAATCGAGTTCGATTTGATATAACAAAATTTTGATAGGCTTTGCCTGTTTGAAGATGAGAATTTCGAGGAATAAAATCATATTTTGGTTGTATAAGATTTTTATCACTATGTCGATTAATAAATGATTTCAGATCTCGACTTCTAGGTGAATCAAATACAATGTCAATTCGGGAGAAGTCAGCAAATACAGGTAATATAGTTTCAATTAATAGATAAGTTGCATGCTCATATACGGTGCTACCTGCACGAGGATAAATGTGAAGTAATGAAGAGCCATCAATGACAAGTGCTTGTTGTTTATTCAAAGTTTGAAGGCATGTAGAAGATATGGCTGATGGAAATTTGTCTCGCAGAAAGTCTAATGTATCTTTTGATTTAGATTGTTGATTCAATAAATTTGGATCCTCTAATGAACATAGACTAATAGGCACCGTGGAAAATTCATGGCCAAATACAGCCTAAAGATGAGTAATATTATAAAAAAAATTATTCGATATATTATCATACTTACCACCAAGTCAACAGGACGATACTGAGCAATGAGTACAACACGTCTAATTTCAGCATCAATTTTCTTAATATCGACTATGGAATTCTTTTTTGACCGTTTATGTACACCAGATCCAGTACTTTCATACGTATCGTTATCACGAATGTACAGAAGAGATGATGCATGTAATGGCTTGTTTACAGGAACAGAACAACCCACTAATCGTTCACGGATAAATACTTCTAGTGCTTCTGCACCAATTTTCTAAAAAGACAGAACAGTTGAAGAAATCCATAATGTTAGAAGAGTCTTGTATATTATTCAATTAAAAAATAAGTTGGTTTATTTGTATAGGATGGTAGTCCAACATCAAAAACATTTGAACATTTACCATCAGAAATTGGTACAGAAAAAGCTGAAGAAGTTGGTATTGAACATTTTCTTTGGTATGTTAATTTTTAGCCAGCTAATTTGTAGATCTCTCATTTAAAAAGCAAAGGTAGTTAATCATAACATATCAAAATTATGTTTGAATGGTTAAATAATATTTGAACAAGGAAATAGAAGATAGTTTGCTATTACAAATATTTTTAGTTTTTCCTGTTAACGAGAATATGCCTTTGATATAAACTTTTGTTTTGCCAAAAACTACTGCGTCTTTTAAGCGTTTTTAAAATTGATCGGCCGGCAACTGTGTAGTCTTCGATTACTTATTCTAAAGACAGAACAGTTAGATATGAATGCGTAACAAATGAATTTTTTTTTTGTTCCGAAGAAAAGTTTCGAATTACTTAGCAATCAAATTTGTAAGAAAATGAATTCCTAGATTGCGTGATAACTATTAACATTAGCGTCAATTGTGTTCCACATGGCTTCCAATCTTAGATAAAAATAAATTGAATTCAATGAAATATCGTTTTCATTCGAGTATTGAAACATCATATGTCTTGATATTAAAAAAAAGCGAATATCAAAGTGTAAGGACATGTTTTGCTGGCAACACTTGAAATAATAGCTTACAAAATGTTACTTACACGGGATTGACAATTACTTTCAATAATATCTGGATGAATGATTTTGCCAGTAAAAATTTGAGTAACATTGCTTGTATTACATGAGAACATTTTTTCTTCAATAAGTTTATCAAGAATAATTTGTAAATCTATATGATCTGCTTGCATACGAGTAGGTGAACATTCAATATGACTTTCAACACTATTGGAACTTGATTCCACAGCAGCTAATTCACTTGTAATGGTAGAAAGTAAAGATCGATAAGCGAATGAGTTTGACCAAATATCAATTAAATCAATTGAACAACGACCCGTAACACCTCCATGACCTTTGCCAGCCTTATTTATTGTAACTTCAATCGTTTGATCTAAAGCAATACTGCTAAAGTTTCGATTACTACGTGAGACCGCGAAACTTTTGGAAAGATAATCAAGAAGATGTTGTGGACAAACTCGAAGGTCAGATATATGACGAGCTGTTAAACGAGCATATTGTCGATGATTACTAGCAAAAAAAAGTTCGGATAATTCACATACGGCTGCATTTCGTGCAACAAAATCACCAGTACGTAATGCAGTATATAATTTAATAAGCGGAGTAATTAAATCAAATAAAACAAACGACCAAAAACGAAATTTTAAATTTTTATAACAATTATCTTGGATCCATTTGTGAAAACATTCTTGCCATTTGGATTTGGACAAAAAATCAAGAATAATTTGATACCATTTTCTACTTTGTTCAGGATTATTTAAGTCTGTTGGTATCTTATTCATACATACTTCCATTTCATCGAAGATTTCTACTGGCAATGTTAAAATAAATTCATTATTTATTATAATACTTAAAGCAGTATATAACAACTTAATAGTTCTTAATGATTTGTTGAAATTAGCAACTGCTAAAACAGCTCGGTATGTAGCACCCTTATATAATTCACCAATTAAATCATCAATTCCTGAACCTTGTAAAATGTCCCATATAACAACCATTGCACATTTCATCATATGAAAGTCACCCGGATATAAGAAAATTCCTTCAAATTCTAATGTATTTTTATCCTTTACCTACATAAAAAAAAATAGTTATAAAAATATGTTATTATCGTATCTTATTGCGAACCTCCATACACAATCGGAAAATCTTTTCATCGACAACTAGAATAGCGTCTTTTTGAAATCCACTTTCCATCAATTTTTTCTTCATATCGGTCATACATAATTCAGCAGTTTCCAATTTGTTTGGATCTTCATTTAGTGGAGACATAAATGTTACTTTATGTCGGGGTTTGATTGTGTGTGGAAGATGTATTGCCATAAAGCCTGAATATAAAGGGAGATTATACTCTCCTAAACGATTGTAGTAAGATTTGATACACCCATATGCAATCAAATGAGGTGTAAGTGAATGATCGAAAAAAGGTTCATAATTATGATAGAAAGACATTGAATGATCACGTAGTGCTTTATCTACCAAAAAGAAGAAGATAACACAAAGTTTCAAGAAAATGATCATGCTTGATTGAATATAAGCGTCAATAGTTCGTAATAATCCATACCTGCTATCCTGATTTTGTTCATGGATGTTTCTTTCTCGTTTTGAATTACAGCTGATTCACATGTTGCTTGATCAACATTATATGACAGTGCTATAGGAAGGAAAAGGTATAACAAATGACTCATAGAGATACGAATGACACTTATAGAAGATTATTATTACCTTCTGATTCGCTAGGATTATCAATTGTAATATCATTAAAAGACAATGGTGAATCACGTAAAAGATCTTTGTTATTGTTATTTATGATTACTTCAATAAAAGAGTAAAAAAAAAAACGTCTGAAAATAAGTAGCCAGGAGAAAAGATTTAACGATACCATCAACACATGTATCACTATCATCGATTTGAATATCTTGAAAATCTAAAGAAAACATAAACCATATATCATCAGACAGAAATTAATCGAAAAAAAAATAATTACCATCAAATCTTTGATTGTTACCATTATTCTTGCTAGCTACAACTAAATTACAGATTAGATAATGTTGACTAAACAAAAAAACTTGCCATTCGATGTGAAACTATTGTCAGGTGTTTGAACAAATATCCTATTAAGAAAATGAAAACTACGTTCGCCATGAAGCGTTTCTCGATTGAGATCAAAATTATCTGCCACTTGCACCAAGTAGCAATTTGGAAGAACACTAGATGGTAAAGAAGATTCGATCATTTGTTTATTTGCAATTTTGCGATTAATACGAGATATTGTTTTATATGAAGCAGTATGACCAAAACGATTTAAAATGCATAGAAGCTCATTTGATCGAGCATGTTTACTTATTTCATTAGCCAATAATATATGCTTTGGTGATACAATATGGTCATGTCTAGCATTAAGAATGTCGTGTCCAATAACCGTATTCTTTAATGATTTAGAACTTGTTCCAAAAATATCTTTATCGAAAAAGTCATAATAATCATGTTCATTTTCGAGTTTTTTAAAATGACGATTACTTGCAGTCAGTAAGCCAATAAAATTACGAATAACAAGAGGTACACAATCGGCAAATAGATCATTAGTTAATTCAGTTAGCTTTTCTGGTTCTTTAAATAATGTTTCCAATACATGTAATGTGTCCTTGATGTGATTTCGAAGTAACCGCACTACAGTAAAAACAGTTTCACAATTAGTAATTTGAGATAGACTGGATGGAGTTGCAGTAGTAATAGCTTGCTGTTGACAATCGGAAAAATTTCTTGACGAAGATTTACTCGTATTAATAGCTGTACGAGAATAAAAACTGATGTTATTAAGTGCAATATAAGTACCATCTCGTTTGTTAACGGTTTCAAAGTGATAATAATTAGGAAATTGAGATTCTATTTGTTTTCGAATAACATCACAACGAATCGATGAATTCATATCTTCTTCATGATGTTCATATGTTTTCCTAATCATATTATATTGATGTTGAACATTTGTTAATGGAATAAGTCGTCCATCATTGAGAATGCTTCTTAACCATGCATGCAATTCATGTAATGGTGATTCAAAGATTAAGCATCGATCATTGGTTCCTGTTGAATGAAGTACTGCTTCTTCTGAATGTCTTCGTCGTTTTTTTCTACGCTGTAAAATGAATAATTTACAACAGAAAAAGACCTTTCTCCTCAACTGATGAGACTCTATAAGAAGAATGTTGAACTCCAATTTTTCCCAATTATATCAACTTTAGGACTCGAATGTTCGATCCTTATTAAACAATTAATGTAGCTAAGCGTTAGTGTTACTTTATAATAAATAATACAAATAAATTCGACATCCATATATAAAAATATATAAACGGATGGGAGTTTATTATCTCGGAATCAACGATTAATAGACTATTGAATAAACAATTCATCATCAATTCTATTACATATACATAAGAAATTAAAGAATAGCGTCATGTGTTCTGAGTAGAATAAAGTTGAATGACTGAACGTATAAATTGATGATTTAAAGGTGGTTTATCATATACCAGATATTTCCAAAAAACTAAAGAATATTTAAAAATCGTTTATTATTTGTACTCGCTTAAAAATAAAATGAAGACATCACTTTTTTTCTCACTGGCATTAAATTAATATGTCAAATATTTGGAAGAGTGAAAGAAGCAGCGAGAAGTGGAGCAGATGAATAGAAAGAGAATGAGGACATGAGAAAGAAAATGAGAGAAACCAGCTATTTTGTACTGCTTTTCCATAGAATGAATGAGTTTATTCGTTTTTAGTTAAAAAATACTTTCTCTTTGTTTATACATATTTTAGATTAATGTGTCATTCATATATATTGTTTTTTTGTAAAACATATATATATATATATATATATATTTGTAAAACATTTCAAATTTAATATGTACATAGTGCATTCATGTAAAGATGAAGACAAGATTTGTCATTGAAAAAAGTTTTTTCTAACAGAATTCCAAATATATTTGATAGACAATACAGACAAGGTTGTTGAAAGCTTGTGACGTGTTACACTCATTTTTCTCTTATAGTTATTGAACCATTAGCGAAAAAATTGTTCACATACCATAATTTTATTAGATTTAATTTTTGGTGTCGATGTTCGACCGATTGAACGAAATGGAGATTGCTTTTTACTCAATTGCTGATTAACACTTGTATTAAATTCTGAATTGCTTGAAAATGGCAATTCTACCTGATCGGCATCTATAAAATAAAGAGAGAAAAGCTCTGTTGTTCAAAAAAAATGACTAACCTGACGACACTGTTGCTTCATTTGCATTAGTAGATGAAACTTTGTGGTTGTTAAAATTGATATCAAGTTTATCCAACGAAATAGCATAACGATCGCTCTAAATTTAACCACCTTAGTTCAATATTAAATAGAAAGTAAAGCAGCTATTACTTTTTCTTTATCAGGAAACATACTACTATGTTCAATATCTGTATTATTTTGAATCATTGAATCATTATTTATAATATTATTGTTCCAATCATCATCGTGAATCAATATTTGTTCTATGGGGAAAATTGTATCTGTACTATTGCAGTTAAATGTAGTATGTGGAGAGTGATTAATGTTTGAAATATCGTTAAAGGGTGAAAGATTCTTCTGACGAGTTATTCTACTTGAACAAATTGTTGTTGAACAGAACACATCCAAATTACTATTGCAATCATTATCATCTTCATCATAATTGCTTTTGTCACAAATGTTTGTCGAGTCATGTTCGTTTGCCACAGTATTCTCATCATTAATTGATATACTGTTGTCTTGAAAGCTACTTGAAACATGAATTAATCTATTTTTTCTGACAAATTCATGGTACCACCGATCCTTGTATTTTTTGTAACATTTTTCATGAACTTTTGTATTAAAAAGTGATTGATTTAAATTTATTTGATGAAGAGAATAGTATCCACGTTGAAGTTTGACCTCAGCGTCACTGGTAACAAGACGTAAGGTTTGTTTATTATTACAAGTAGTTTTCAGACAAAGACCACATCTAGCTGCCATATTAGAATATGGTTCTAGAGAAATCCCAACGATAAACAGTCATCCTTAACTTATCATTAACAGAGGTTGCCAAGTTCTATCCTCTAATATGATGAGTCAGTCATCAATAAAAGCAAAAAACCTAATATCTATATTTTTCTGTAAAACAATTTCAAGGCTACCTTTTATTACAGTAAGATTTTTTATCCAAAACAGGTGCGTAATTCAAAGTGCATAGGTATGTTAAACCATTGAATTCTGAGAAATGGATGATGAATCATCAAACACTAGGGTACGGATCAAGAAGAAAAAAGAAACATTTTTCTGTTTATCACGATCATCGTCCTCCTATATATTTCATTGGTTTCTTTCTTGGGATCAACAGCATGGAAGAAACGAAAGATGGAGCAACATACATGTATGTATTGTACATCATACATCAAATTTTTTTTTCGAAATAAAAAATTTTTTCTAATTTCTTCATGAAGTATTCGACACTACTAAATTGTTTTCTTAATTATTTCCAAATTTCATTCGTTTTATTATTTTTTAAGCGATTATCTTTTAAAATTTTATAATAATTTTTACAAAGAATATAAAATGTTTTGTTTTTATTTATTTTAATTAAGAACTTAAAAAACTGAAATTATTTGAATTTTTTTTCTGTTTCTAGATAAAAGAGAAAAAAAGTTGTATATAACATAGGAAATTTTATTTTACATTAAAATTGAAAAATAAATACTCCTTCTCATATTACTTCAATATTTGAAAGAAAAATAGATTTTCTGGCTATTGTGGGATTTTAGGGGAGCGGAAATTCCTAGAATACCTTGAAAGGAGTCCATTCGATAGAGCTCGTCGAGTTCTATCTGCTTGTATGGTTGTCAAGCTTTGGTCCCACCTGAGTGTGAATCGCGGTGCACTGTACGAAAAAGATCGGATTTTTTGCTGATTTTTATACAGTATTTTAGGCTTTTCTCCCGCTTGGAAAAGTATTGGAGAAAAAGTAAATAGTGCATTGGATAGAACTCGTTGAGCTCTATCTTGATCCGTAAAGTTTAGTCTTTGGTCCCAACTGTGAGCGAATCCAGTTGCGGAATATGCGAATCCAGGCCCAAGATATCCTTTGTCACAAGATTAGAAAAAATTAAAAGAATCAAAGAATTTATGTGAATCGAATTTTACATGAGAAGAGTGATTGAGAACGAAGCAATTCATAATAGTGACCTAGAACTTTTTGCAATTCAAAACGCAAGAGAGATAGGTTGGGATAATTTCAAGGCAAGTAATGCATTTATCAAACTTCAAAAAAGAATACCGAATTTCATCAAGAAGATACAACAAACTTATTACTCGAGTTTCTTCCATCAAAAAACTTTGTAGTTTGGATGGTATGGAAATCAGTGGTTGGATACCCAGTAAAATATTTGGTACTTTCGGTACTTTTACTTAAAAATCTTGAGTACTTAATTACACTCTTAAAGTACAAGTAAATTTCCTTGTACTGCATGATTGCATCACATTATTCAACGGAAAAGAAAAATTTAACTCTTAGAACTGGATGAGAGTGTGCATGAGAAGAATATTTTCATGCACACCCGACACCCAGTTTGCACTGAAACAAATGCATGCATTTCAAAGCATAGATTTTTGGGGAAATGTCATCAGTGATCTAATTAGAGGGTCTTATGAAGTGTCAAGAACTTAATTTCTCGTTGTTATACACTCAGAATTCCAATTGGAGGTCTATAAAAAAATTATTTTGATATGATTATTTATTTACTTCTGATAAACTGCAAACTTACCTTATATTTCATAAATCGGTATTATAAAAGGTTTAAAATCATTACAGCGACTGTTTATAACTTCAATGGAGCGTTTCATCGCAATAAAAGATGTTGTATTCTCAAATATTTCGTTTTTTTCATTGAAGAAAAATGGAGATGAAAACAATGACTATTTATTTGAGTTACTTATTTCTTATTTTCATTCAACCAAAAATGCTTAAGGTGCATGACACAGCAAGTTTTCTGAGAACAAAAACTTTTCAATAGAATTACTTGATGAATCTGGCTTTTTCCACCTTGTTATTTGACAAATGTACTTTGTTTTTATCGAAGAAAGCTGATAGCTACTGTATGGTTGGAAATATTCAAGCTAATTACTGATCAGCATGTAGAAGTGAAGAAAGGAAGAAATCGAAAACGATCCCCATAAGCATCCAAACTGTTCCATGAGTGACGAACTTAGCGTGTCTTAGGAAGTAAAATGCTTCAATGCTGGTATTTCCAGCAAAAAACATTATTTTGTTGTTACTTCCAGGGAACGTATAATACTTATGTCAGTATGACTTCCTTTATGTAGACAGTAATATTCATATATCAATATTCATAATGGTTTCACCATATTGTTCGTATTGCTTTCTTTATCATGACAGACATTTATATTCTCTTCAACTGATCGCATTATAAATTGAAAAAATAAGAAATATACATAGGAAAAGAAGACCAACAGTCCACCTTCACCCTTCTTTCCGTCCAGGTGTTGAAAATTTTCGCCTGTCTTATCGCCAAAGTTGGCATATATTGAACCTGAGAAGTCCCTAAGGAAGATGAACTTTTTCAGAAGCCGAGCAAGCTGGATGTGAATGTGAGTGTCTCTCTCGATCTACACCCATACCCACCCCACATCCATATCCATCCCACACCCACACCCACATCCACATCCACACCGACACTCCACACTGACATCCACAACTACCCACTCACACCCACATTCCACACCCATCCACCCACGCCCACATCCTACAAGCATTGATGCGGTCTTTATAAAAACATACCGACCATGGAAAAATAGGTTTATTATCGATTGATCATATTATGTGAGTGCCTCGTTGAAAATTAGATAACACTTGTTTTGCCTATAATAATGGATATTATAAAAAATCTCGAGGTGGAGCTATGGGTTTAGCATTCACACAAGTGTTAGCTAATATCTATATGTAGTAATGGGAACACGATTTAATCAAACATCAAGAAAAATATAACGAAATATATGAAAGGCTTGTTAAACATTTATTCCACTCAAAACATTCTGTTAACTAACGTTTCTGTATTGTAGAAACATTGATGATATATTTATCGCCACCAATCGAATCACAAATGAAATTAAAGAAGATCTTCAACACGCAGCCAAAACAGATATAAATATTCAAATTCACTATGAAACTAATACAATAGTCAATTTTTTGGATATTACTATAACAAATGGCCATGGCCAATTAAAAACATCCCTTTATTATAAGCCAACGGCTGAACCTTATATGTTGCTATATTCTCCGATCATCCACGATACGTTCATCGTAATATACCATATGCTGCTTTACTACGTGCTTCTCCTATTTGTTCTGATGTAGATGACTTCAACAGAGAATTATTCGTATTGATGTGTCATTGTTACTAAATAATTATCCACCAAATTTTATTGCAAACCAATTCTATCAATTCTTCCAACTAAATAAGGCCATGTCTATTGTCAACGAATTGAATAAACAAGTTTATCATGAGTCAAATCAACAATGAATGTATCAACCTACACGACGTCAAAAGCAACTTCATCAAATGATACAACATTCAATTCGATCACCAACAGCATTGCCGTTGAAGATATGGAATACAAACATCATTTAGTTACGATATTTGTTCGACAGCTCCACATCCATGACTTTTCGAAAACAATTTTACCAATGGTGGCGAACTCACTATGCACATGACGGATAGTCTCGGAATGATGCTAAAGTTCGACTAGCCAATACTACTCAGCGAACGCTAGAAACATTTCTTATCCACAAAAATCCCTCGCCAGCGACGTTAACATGTATAGAAGATGGATAGACGGCAACTACTATCAGGTTGCAACGGACACCTATAAGACAGCATAAAAAAAATGTTTATTTTTCCTCAACCATTTATCTCATTGTATCTCTTCTTTAAAAACAAAATAAAACAAAACACCATCGTTAAACTGCAATTACTCTTTCTCTAGAACATAAAATATTTCTCTCAATCCAAACATTAACCATAATGTTTAAATTTGATTCTTTTAGATAAAGTGAATTAATTCACCACCACCACGAAAAAGTTCCAGATGAAAGGCGACTTCAATATACGTGAATCAATGGCTTACTCGGATCAACAGCAGAAATCCAAAACTGAAATGCGTCGTCTGCTGCTTTGAACCCATCTAATATGAAACACGCCCACACCGACACCCACACACCCATCAACTCACTCACCCCGGCACCCATCTACATCCATAGCTACACCTGCACCAACCCACGCACACCAACACCCATCTACACTCATACCCAGACCGACACTTACCTACACCCATACCCATACTCACACCCACACCCACATCCACACCATCTCGCTCGCCAAATAAACGCAGAAATGGGGTGGACTGTTTTTTAGACTGATGCGCATGTGGATTTATGTTTTTCGGCAGTTTTAGCATATACTAGGCGGAGAATATCTTTTGATAGGAGAGAATCTTTTTGTCTTTCGAGAGAGGATCAAATGGTTTGTCAGATAGTTTCATTTAGATGTGTATGTAATGTAATAGGGCAATGAACCAAGAAGCATACGTGAGCGTGGAGGTAGAAAATGGATTCTATGGATAATGTTCGTCGAATGCTTTTCATGGTGTATGTTTTAAGAGTAAGTGTGGTGTTTTTGGTTTTAAAGGTTAGGTGTTTTATGCCTCCAAAAATAGTCTGTTGTTATAGGTAAAGCATGGAACAATTTTGATGGGAAGTTTAGTTCTTCGTAGATTCGTGTTCATGGTAGTATTGAATCGATGAATAAGGCTTTTACAGTTGAACATTGATTCTCAATTGCCATCTTCACGTGGAGTACGATTCTGAACAGTAGCAAGCAGTTGTTGAACCAAGTTAATGAATTCGCTTACATCTTTATGTTGGTGTTTGCTGGACACACTTCGAAGTGGATCAAAATAAAAGT